AAAGCCAAAACTTAAGAGAAAATTTCTATAATTTTCTATAAGATGTTATTCAGATGGTACTTAACTCCAGACAAATTAACAAAAATACAAAACAATATATGAAAGAGGTATGTTGGAAGGATAATAAAGTAAAAGGTGCCATTTATAATACATGGTGGCAATGTGAAAAAGCCCCAAAATTTTTGATATAGATACATAAAATCATAACAAACCTGTTGAAAATCATTAGACTCAACAATATTAAGTTTGTTACATCCACTAGAATTACAATCTAAGAAAAAAATGGGAGGATTTTGCAAACATGATAACAGCTGCAAAGATAGTATATGCAAAGAACTGGAAAAGCATAGATGTCCCACCGGATGATGATTAGTTATTCAAATTATATGAAATGGCTGAGATAGATAAGTTAACATAGGGCATCTGCAGACCGGCCACCCCAACCCCACCCCAATGCCGTCCTGACACCGCACACTGTTACACATGGTGTGCGGCTTCAGGAAGCCCTTCTGGCTCAGCGTTCAAACATGCTGTGCCAAAAAGGGCACTGAAGAGCCACATGCTGGCTGTTAGGGCAGCCTCTTGCCGCCCCTAAAAGGAGAGGCATTTTGCTGTTCTTTTCGGGGTGTCAAAAGGGAGGATCAGGCTGTGGTGTGGGGTTGCCACAGCCCCGATCTGCTGCTTCCCAGGGCAGCTCAGAGCTGTCTGGCTGCAGTCCCCCATAGTTAGATAACATAACAGCAAATCAATTTGAAATGGGTTAGACATATGCAACCATGTTATTGGAGAAGAAATGGGGAAAAACAGCAATAATAGCTTTTCAATAAAATATGCATTTTGTAAAAAACAAATTAAAATAAATAAATAAATGAAGGAAGGATATATATATAGAGAGAGAGAGAGAGAGAGAGATAGACAGTAAGTATAGATAGTATTATAGACAAACATATAGGAACTAGATTAGCAAGATTCCTAGAAGAATGAGAACAGGCAATACAACGAGTTACTGAAAAAAGGAGGAAGAACTATATGAAATGTGCCCATACACTGGAAAGCTCAGGAACTCTGTTTAGGAATATGTACATAGCATGATGTATGAAAGCAGTAAAGCGAGTGAGAAAGGAGATTAGAGTAAGAGCAGAAGAATGTGCAAGAAGGTGAGAAGTAAGTGCGAGGGTGATAGAATGGTTGCATCCACACTGCAGAAATAATGCAGTTTGAGATTGCTTTAACTGCTACGGCTTCATGCTGTGGAATCCTGGTGTTTGTAGTTTTGTGAGAGACTCTGCCTTCTCTGTCAGAGTGCTCTGGTGCCACAACAAACTCCCTGGATTCCATACCATGGAGCCATGGTAGGTCAAGTGGTGCCAACCTGGATTATTTCTGCAGAGCAGATGCAGCCAGTGTGAAGATAGAAGAAAGAGAAAAGGAAAGGAAAGGAAGAAATAAATGTAAGGATTAGAAGAGATAAAGGAGAGAAAAAGAAGAGAATGAGAAAGAGAAAGGAGATGTAGAGAATGAAAGAGAAAGGGAATACGTGAATAGGAGGGAAAATAAGATTGAACAGGAAGGAATAGAAAGTAGGGCAGATAAGAAACATCCAACAACATGCTAGCTGAGTGAAAATTCCCATTCTGGCAGCTTGCAAGATTACACTTTGGGACCAACACTTGCGCAGATTGTAGGACTACCACTTTTAAAAACAAAAAGTATTGTGGATACCACCCTTGTGATAACTCTGAAAATATGCAGCCAGTAGTAAACATTCAGTACAAATCATATCCTTTTAAACAGCATGCACTATAAATAATCCATCAATGCATATATTAAAAGCCATAGATGAAACCTTGGTTCACAAAACTAAATCTGACATTCTGCCCATATAAGTTGTTGCAGCAACTTGAACCAGTCAATATGTTGAAACTCCAGTCTGCTACTTAAGGAAATAATTCAAGACACTCTATCCAATATAAGAACATGAATAATGTTAGAAATAAAGCAAATCAAAATGTACTCCAACACTTTCAAAGGGCTAATCAATCCTCCTTTATTCTTGCCTCACTCTGGGAGAAGGATATCCCCTAGGTCAGCAGACCACAATTAATTAGAGTCTGTTCTTCTATCTAGAGTATTATGAACCAGGCTGGAAAAATAGCAATCTAGTTCTAACTTACCGTAGTTTTAAATATCAAAGAAAAAGTACAGTTAATTGCAATGATCTCTATCAAAATGAATGCCCAGCCCTTCTTCCTTGCTCACTCAGGGACACCAAAGGGAACCCAGTTCTATAATAAAAATATTTCTTAAGGCAATTATTCCTAATTAATTAGAACCACTTCCTCTATCTAAACTGTTATGGTAACATGCTATAAAAACAACATTCTTGTTTAAACTTGTAATAAAAAGTCCTATAAAATAAAAACATCTCAATTGAACAATTGCACAGTCATTTATGAATCAAAGTAATTGCCAAAATCTATTTCAGTCTTCTGCCAGATCACTATCCTCTGGATGGAATCACTAGTACAGAAATCTGTGTTTAAAATTAAATACTAACACATTATTTATAATCCATGGTAGGTTTTTTTTTTAAAAAAAAAAAGTATTATTACAGACCAGAATACTGTGGAAATTTTCTCATCATTGAAGAGACCCTGTTGGGGGTGGAAGACCTATGAAGACAACATTAGAATTTTTTTGTTTGCCTTTGAGCAAATATGGTAGACTGGTGATTCTGCCACAAGCACCTCCAAGATTCCCATATATCCTCCTCTTACATCATCCTTGCAAAACATTTGATTTTCTGAAAAATGAATTTGTCCTGCATGAACAACACTGCAGTAATGAAGTACTCTGCAGTAGGTGTACTCTGTTCTTCAAATGCTCTGTTCTGATTTTCAGAAATATTTTACTCACTGTTTTTAGGTTGTAATTTCTAATGTGTTTTACATGGTGGTATAATATCCTCTGGATGGGATCTTGTCTTTTTATGAGTGTTTTGTAAAGATACTGTTATGGCAGTACATACATAATATAATATGCAGTGTCTATATCAGGATCACCTTGCACAACATTGTCAGCCACGCTATGACAGCCACAGATAGAAAGAAGATAACATCTAGTTATTGTAATATTTCTTTTCTCCCCAATCTAGAGTGTTTCTATATACATAACAACTGCACATGTTTTAGCAAAACTTTAGAAAGGTGTTCCTACACCCATATGTGTTTTATTTCCTAAATACAGTTTACAAATTATAGCCACAGATCTGCTAGTGTTAACTATTTGAAATCCTGATACTTCAACTTATACTGGCCAAATGGCCGTAATAAATTAATTGAATTGAATTGATACTTCAACTACATATGCTCTTAATTGCCTGACTATAGTGATTGGGATTCAACTTTGGTTTCATTGGTGTAGGACCAATATGACACTAGTAAAGTGTTAGATTTAATCATGGAACAAGTGGTAGTGCAAGAAACAATGTACATATCCTATCGCTTGTACAGTCCTTTGTACAAAGCTGCACAGGACTCTGCCATTGCCTTAAAACTGTCTATATGCGCTAGTGAAACATACCTTGCTTTAGTACATTGAAACCATTGGACACAGGCTATTGTGCCCAATTTCTATTTTAAAATATTCATGTGGTGCCAGTCTTATCTATGCACAAAAAAAAAAAAATCTCTAGTGGAACTTCTTGAAACAGGTTGATGAAGACTAATAATAATAATAATAATAATAATAATAATAATAAATTTTATTTATAGCCCGCCCCTCTGCGGAGCAATCGGGGTGGGTTACATCAGTTAAAATACAGGGAATACAGAGGTTAAAGCAATTCACATACCCATCCAACCCTCCCACCCCTTAAAACAATATTAAACTAATTATTAATTAAAACGACATGCTCTGAAATATATAACACAGTAAATAATCATACAACAAAATACAAAATGAGCAGCAGGAGGAAGGACAATATAATTGTCTCCCAGAGCCGGAAAGTTATTCCAGGAAGGCCTGCCGAAAGAGATCCATCTTTAATGCTTTCTTGAAAGCAGCAAGGGTGGTAATATGACGGATCTCCTCCGGCAGGCCATTCCAGAGTCTGGGAGCGGTCGCAGAGAAAGTCCTCTGGGAGGTCTGAGATAGCCTAGTTTTTATTGGCTGCAGCAGATTCCTCCCAGAGGACCGAAGGGTGCGGGGAGGGTCATACGGGAACCAAGCACAGTGACTAAAGGGAAAGCATGGTAAATCAGGGGCAAGGAGAAATGGGATGAATTATGGTTGAAAAGGGTGTGGCTGACTGACTGGAGCAATGAAGAGATGAACTGCCCCTTGACAAATTGTGAAACTGATGTCAACTGGATAAGTCTCCCCAAGCTTGATGAAGAGGAGGAGGAGGAGGAGGAGGACAAAAAGAAAAGTGACAACACTAGCCTCCCTGTGTGGCATGCTTTGTAACTTTTAGTTTTATTAATACATATTTTAGTTTTGAAATAAATTTCTATATAGTTTTCTACTTTCTTTCATGGATTTTATTAATATGTTCTCTCTATGAATATCTAGGTCCTCCAGTGCAACTCTAAGGTCAACTTTAACCAAAAGTCACACTGAAGGACCTAGAGATTCCTAGAGAAAACCCTCCACTAGGCATTTGTAACTCCTCCAGTACGGTTCTATGGTCAATGTCTGGCAGATGTTGACCAAAGCATTGCACTGAAGGACCTAGAGATTCCTAAGAGGTGTTCTCTCAAGTAAAAACATAGTGGTTTTTTTATTTGTGTTTTTTCCACATTCACAGGGGACCTGCACCCTTAACTCCAGTGAATGTGGAGGGACGAGTGTATAATGTTTTTCAATCTGACTTTTAACATTGTACTCTTTTTTAAAAAAATTATTGAAATTTTTTATTGTTCAAATAAAACCAACAACACAACAATACATACATACACACAAACATTCAAGCATAAAAAAACATTGTACTCTTTTTGAGAGCCAGTTTGGTGTAGTGGTTTGAACACTAGCCTATGACTCTGGAGATGAGGGTTTGAATCCCTGCTCAGCCATGTGACACTTTCCATCTCAGAGGAAGGCCAAGACAAATCTTGCACATAAAATTCTGTGATAGATTTGTCTTTGGATTATCATAAGATGGAAATTACTTGAAAGCACACAACAACTCTTTTTCCAACATACATTGGCTGCTGTTTGTTGGGTTTCATTCATTATAGAAAAAGAGCAAAGAATAGTAAATGGACAGAGAAAACAGAGAGACCATCTAGTAGCCAGAGGACAGCAAATTTTCTTCATTCCATGTTCTAAAAAAACAGTGTTGAAATATGCTGCTAGCTTACTTGGCTGAGAGATATAACTTGCATTTAGGAAGATGGATTCTGAGAAAGAGAGTGGATGTTGTATGCTCATGTCTGTCTATTCCAGGGCCCAAATAATATCTTTCTCATAGAAATAGTTGAAGGTATGTGGGCATGTGGCATATTTGTCTCTTCTCCAGGAGTACAGCAGCTTTGAGAAGATATGCTGGCTAGAGTTTTTCCCCATTTAAAATGAACAGCACATAAAAATGGCCAGTCTCTCTCCTTCACGGAGAAAACATCAACATGAGGTCACAATAGTCAATCTATTTCCAGTCAGAAAAAAATCAACATGATTTAACAATGACCTGTCTAATTCAGGCAGGCATCATCATCATCGTGAAATCAGTCAAGCATCATTGACATATAAAGGCACATTTGCCAGGCAGCGACAACATTATGGGCACAAAGGTTCTTGAACTCTTGAGCTAACATTTTTGTAAGTTCCATTTATTCAGTGGGTCTTACTTTTTTGTTGGGACTGCAGGTAGAATTCAAGTTTTATCTTAGTTTTAAATTCTGCCATCTTTGATTGAATTTGTTATTGCTGTATTTTATATTTTTAATAGGTTTTATACCAGCCAAAGAATTCTGATTAGTCCATGGTTTAAAAGTGCAATGAAAGAATGAATGCTACACAGGCTATTAGAAACCATAACCAAATCCTCTCAGGTCTCTCTCCCAAATATGTTGGTGAAGTGATGCAGGAAAGGGGAACTGACACAATTATTCACACACAGACATCTGGAACATTATGCTTTATATAATAGTTTCATGTGTAAAGGATTTTATAATGACCCTTTGGAATAAGTTGTTTTACAAATGGGGAACAGAAGTGAAAAAAGTGGAGGTGGGGAGATTTGCCCAAAGTCACACAGTGAGCTCTTCCCTGGTTCAGAGAAATTCTCAGAGATATGGGAAGTCTGGCTGATCCCTTTCAATTGCCCTACTTTCAAATCATGCATACTTTCAGACACCATAATCTACAATAAAGCATCATTTAATTGACTTTGCCTACTGAAAAGTGACTGACAGTTCATTCAAGCAGGCACTTCTTAAAATGAATGGCACTCTAATAAAACTGTCTCACATTACTGGAAGTGCCATCTCATGTTCTTTATTTTGATTAACACAGAGAGATATTTTACTGGCAACCAGATAGAGTGATTGACATCTGGAAGACATACAAACATAAGTCATATGTAGTGAGGAGTTTATTTCAGAGTGTTGCCTCAGCTTTCCAAGAAAAGGGTTAAGTAGTATCAGAGACCTTTAATTTTGAAGTACAAACACTTCTTCCTCTGCATGTGTTGGCATGTGAGTGAATCATATTGGGTCTTGAGTATGGAATCTGTGCCTGTCCCAATGTTATTGGATTCTAGCTGCCATTAGATATATCAAGCATGGTCAATGGGGAAGAATGATGTGAGCTGCAATTCAATAACCTCTAGAGTTGGACTGGTAGACAGGCTCTTTGTTCCTCAGAAAAGGAGAACTCTCAAAACCTGATATTTTGTCCCTGATATCTGACTGAAGGGTCAATCACTTGGATTTTGTTCATTTCAGTATCACTTGGAATATGATAAAAACTAGGCTTCCCCGCTGTCACTGTTATTTTATATGTAGCACCTAAAACTGAACATTAAGAAGCAGGTGCTTTGTGCCACTGCAGGTTTTAACTGGATAATTAGTGTGCAAGAGCCAGCATAGTTTATTGCTTTTAGTGTTAGACTAGGACTCTGAGAGACCAGGAATTGAATCACTGCTTAGTCATGGAAACCCAGTGGAGGATGTGGGGCAAGTCACACAGTCTCAGCTCATTTTCAGAGGAAGGCAATGAAAAATTCCATCTGAATAAATCTTGCCAATATAACACTATGATATAGTCACTATAGAGAGATGCAGTGGTGCAAGTGGTTAAGACACTGATTCTGTTGATTGCAAGATTGGCAGGTTGGCAGTTCAAGGCCTGAGTGCTGCATGATGGGGTGAGCTCCTGTCACTAGTCCCAGCTTCTGCCAAACTAGTAGTTTGAAAGCATGCAAATGCAAGTAGATAAATAGGTACCACTTTGGTGGGAATGTAAATAGTGTTCTGTGCAATCATGGTGGCCACATGATCACAGAGTAGGCTCTGACAATGCTGGCTCTTTGACTTAGGGGGGGAAGCAGACAGCGCAAAGGGCCGTTTTGGGGGGCAAGGAAGGGGAGGGGCAGCTGCATCGTGGGTGCCCGAACCCCTTCCCGAAGGCATCATCGGAGCACCGGCCCCTCCGCACAGCCGGTGCTCTGACGACGTCTTCCTGCTGCAGCGTCTGCAAACCTTTTTGCAGCATCTGCAAACCTTTTTGCACCACCAGCCTTTTGCGGTGCACCTTCGGAGACTTGTGGAAGGAGCGCTATTTTAGTGCTTCTTCCAGGGGCGGCAAAGCTGCGCCACAGGGCCAAGGTGTGTGGATACCTCCGTTCTGCTGTGCAGCTTCCCGGGGCAGCCCAGGGCCGCCCGTCTGCTTCCCCCCTTAGTAATTGAAATGAGCATCACCCCCTATGGTCAGGCACAACATGACAACCTTGTCAATGGGGAATACTTTTACCTTACCTTTATAGTCACTATATGTTTGAGTTAACTTGAAGACACATATGCAAAGAGATCTTCCAACATCTTTGAGACTGTGTGAAAGAAGATGTAGCATAAACTTTTGTATACCTGGGGCCTTAGCAGACTGCCAGAAATAGTGCACATTAAATTGAGGCAGTGCCCTG